TTCAACAATTTTAGTCAAGTTTATTCAACAATGAGTTGCATGTAATGTTTAAATTCCTAAATTCCTTTTAGTATTTAATTTAAGCATAGCTTAGCTCCTTTGATGACAAAGGAAAAGAAAAACATTTATTTATTTGAATATCTGGAAGACCATTCCAAACAATTTCATATTGGTATTTGTGCACGATGTGGAAAAAACCAAAATTGCACCTCAGTGGAAGTTATTCTTAATGTTACTGTTGCAATCAAATGTCCTTATTAAGAATTAATTGAACATGAACTCTGTCCTCTTCTAAAGTAAAGACCTATGAAGTCTTTCAACCACTAATAGTAGCCTAAGAGCTAGAATTAATACTTCTGGCTTGTATCATTTAAGATGAAAGGGTTTTTTTTAATCAGGATAAGCATAAACTGAAATGCAGCTAAATTTCTTTTAAGGGTTGAGAGCAAGCAGCTACTGTCATACATATAGGCCTGAGTAGGCTGCACAAATGTCCCAGCACCCTATTCTACTATTATTAACTTCATGAATTCAGAGCATTCAAATGGGTAAAAGCCAACTGCTGCATGATTGTAAAACTGTTGTGCTGAAATAACACAGCCGGTGTTCAAACATTCTGCAATGCACTCTTGCCTCCACTGCAGACATAAATTCAATGGCCTTTCATAATGTTGAGTGGAACTACAGTATCTCTGCATCGCTGTTATTTGTCCCCTATTTAAGTAATTTGTTCCTTAAAAAACCACTTGGATCTCTACAAATGTGGATTCATTAGGAGTACATCATCATAGAGACCAAATCAGATGTGAATAACTTTATCCTCGCTCAGAAGCCTTTTTAGAAACATGTTTTATTACACAAAAACACACAATGCTCCATCCAGCACTAAATGGTCTATACTCTATATCCTAAACAGCAGCATTTAACGAACTGTGCTTTGGAAGGCATCCTAATTTTCAACTTTCAAGTTTTATCATAATCTTGGCCATAGTCTAAGTGAAGTGAAAGCAGAAGAACAGGCTGCAATAGTCAAACCATAATCTTCCCTTAACCTTTCCATGTCCTTTCTCTCACACCCACAGTTTGGCATATAAGACCCTGTACTGACCTGAATATCCTCTGACATTTAGCACTAAGCTACCCTTTTAGTTAGACCGGGTCTTAGCACTGCACAGCAAATAAATCTTGATGGAATTCAAATACTGATCTATTTATTTGAAGGGAATTCGGTGGCTCCTGAATGTGAGCTACCCTTTCTTCAGGTTAAATGATTTTGTTCTGTTGTATAATTAAAATTTAATCACACAGATTAAAACTATAAATGGAATGACTCTTTCAAGAATGTTTTCAACTGACTGAAAAGTTTACAAAAAAAATTGTGTGAATTAAATAAGCCAAAATTCTATTTATTGTAATGGAATTTTGATGTTTATATAACAATGTATTGAGTCAGAGTAGTGTTTTTATTCATTATTTATATCCATCTATCTGGTTTCCTCCTACAGTCCAAAAACTTGCTAAAGTGAATCGGACTTGCCGGTATTGTCCGTAGGTGTGAATGTGCGTCTGAATGGGTTGTGTGCTCTGCAATGGGTTGGTGCCCCATCCTGGGTTAATCCCTACCTTACACCAATAGCTTCTTGGATAGGCTCTGGACCCTCGCAACCCTGTACAGGAACGAGAGGGAATGGAAATGGAATGGATGGATGGAATCCATCTATCGTCCGTGCAGATTATCTAGCGTGATACAGGAGACAAGGGAAAGGACGCCTTGGACAATATCCCTGCCTACAGCAGAGCACACACATATTGTACACGACTCAGAGATATCAAGTCACCTATTTCCAGACTGAGGGAGACACCTGAAGCATTTGGAGGAAACATGCACACACACAGGGAGAAGAAAGTCCACTGACACAGAGCCAGCAGCCGGAGTCATGGCTATCGGTGCTACTCACTGGGACACCGCACTGCTTTGGTTCTTTACAATTCATAAGAAAACGAACAAGGACAGATTTGCTCATGTGACTGATGATGTATATTCAGGGATCCAAATGGATGGTGGTCTCATTAGTAAACAGCTTTTTCTTGTCTTTTAGATCTCCATTTCTCCTCTTGCCAGGAGATACGCCTCATTCCTGCCTGCACCTCATTCGATTGCGAATACACTGACATTGTGGACTATATAATTGTGATGTCATCAAGAACAAAACCTTGGGGATTATATTCTTTTATTCTGCAAAGTTTCCTTTGATGAAGTATGACTTACCTAGCTAGCTAAAACAATTGGATTTATTGCAAAATATATATGAATCCATATGGGTATCCCTATTTCGCAGTGATACTAAAATCTTCCAGAAAATTAGAACATTATTATAATATAATATAATATAATATAATAGAGGTTATATGTTCTTTAAGTAGCTGTCTGGCTTAGGAGTCCAACATGTCCTACACTACTCTCTTGTGTCAATAATGTGAAGTAATAGTAATATTATCTATCCATATTCCATGCACTCATTCGTCACTTTGTGATGAGCATAGGTTCTCTAATATGCATCGTTAGGCATTTTCGGCACTGTGTGAACAAGTATTATGCACCGTACGTAATTGTATGTGCTATATTGACTGGAATAGGTATGTTGACACCAGTATCACCACAAACATGTGAGTAATGCGTTGTGCTGTGACGTTATGAAGGGTATGATGTCACTAGGCGATAGCAATTTATCAATTCCATTACAATATAATGTTATGGGACCACTACCGTGTATGTGGTCCATCGTTGACCAAAATGTTGTAATGTGGCGCATATACCAGTACTGAGAACTCATACCATGACACCAAAGAACCCAGAGAAGAACATTTTTTACTGTGAATATTAAAATACAGTAGTATGCAAAAGTTTGGGGACCCCTCGATAAATAACATATTTTGGTCATTTTTTAATTGAAAAGATGTAAACACAGTCTCTATAGGAAATGCACAATATTTTCACCAAACATTGAATCTGAGACTTTGGAACTCTTAGGGTGCCCAAACTTTTGCAGAGTGCCATAATAATGTTTTTATTTTTTTATCTTTGTTCAATTTATGACATAAAAAGTAACTATGCATCAGTGTTTGCTGAAAATATTGTGCATTTTTTTTCCATTTCCTACAGAGACTGCTTACATCTTTTCCATTAAAAAATGACCAAAATATGTTATTTATCGAGGGGTGCCCAAACTTTTGCATACTACTGTATATGCCACAACCAGTCAGCTACTAAACCTCCATCATTGAACTGCTCCCAGAAGAAAACATCTGCACACACTTTTGAGTTTCCAGCCTCCAATGTTCACTATCTCTGAACTTTAGGAGCCAGCATATCCCATTGGAATAATTGCTAAAATTTCTTCTGGTCAGGACAATGCAATAGCCCAAAAATATTGCTACCTTCTTCTCCCACAGAACCGGCATGTATGTTGACTGTCTTCTGCAGTATAACTCTCTGTACTCCCTCTCTTCAGCAATATAATTTATTACTGTTTTGTCAACAGTCTGTTTCTGATCTATCCTTTCCCATTAATTTCCACTCAGAGGATTATCGTAAGTCATGCTGTATGTATTGGTGCTAACTCATATACTTCACTGCAATCGTTTGTGACTTCTCACCCACAATTAATTTAGTCGTAGTTGTAGAACATCACCAGAAACGTAGTTGCAGTTGCTTTGTTCTATAGCCAAATCAACAGCATGCTTCATAAAATCAGGTTTCATTCGATTTTCGTTCTAATGCTTTCCAAAGCAAAATTTCAAATGATATGGATAAGTGGGTATAGGAAATGGATGGATAGATGGATTGTTCATCTGCTGTCTCCCTTTCTATTCTAATTTCCACACATGCTTTTAGAAAGTTAGCTTAATGTTCATCATCAAAATATACCTTTGCATAATAAAAAGCATCCTTATTCATTATATGACACCATATTGTCTATAACAATGTAAGCTCAGGTGAGATATTAAATCAATTCCATTCATCCGTAAACCTGTAATCTGTCCCAGGCAGGACAGGACAGAAGGTGAGAGATGTTTTTCATGCAATGCCATAGTTACACAATCAAACACTATTGATTCACTTTATACTGTATAGACTACGAGAGGAAATTGGAGCACCTGGAAACAATCTGTTAATTCATGTATATATATATAGACAGCATGCAAACGAAACACAGGTAACTAATCATAACCACAACCCTGGAAGTGTGAGGTTTCAATGCCAAGCAGTGAAACACTGCACCTCCCTCAAGTGTTACAGTGCCATATGGTTATAATTTTACTTTTGATTTTATTTTATCTCTCTGTGGGCTCATCATAGCCTAGATTTTAAACAAGATCAGGTAAACAGTTTAAATGTCAGTTAGTTACAGTATTTTACAAACAATGAATGGGTCCATGACTAACTTTTTACATTATGGTTTGGAATGTTCATCAAATGGATGACATTAGTGCAGCCTCATGGCCACCATAATAACCAACTGTTTGCTGGAGAGATTCCATCATGGCCACCAACAACATTCCAAAATTCCACTAATATTTTACACAATTCCACTAATTACATGAGCTGAGTGAGAAACATGCCAAAAATGAAGTACTGCATCAGTTTTGTTTCTCATTCAAAACTCATGAAATTTGAACTCATGTTAAATGTCAGGAAGGCTGATTTGTGCAAGAAATACAGTGCAATATTCTAGCTTATTTTGGAGTTTCTTGCTAGTTTAACATGGAGTTATGAAACACTACAATGTCTCCTTACTTGATATCTATTTTAATGTATTAGTGTATTTGTGAAAACGGATTAAATGTGTTTTTATCATTACTTTTATTGTTTGCAATCATTAGCTAACAGCAAGCGGTTTTAGGTTTAGCATTAAATAGTCTGACTTCTGTAAAACTGGAATCCTTTTGAACTGAAAGCAAAATTGTGACAGCAAAATCCGAGCAGTGGTTTTCCTCACCCTTTCGCATTCTAATCGGGCAATTAGGTGGCTCCTCCGTAGTTCCCTGCAACGCCGTTATCGGTGAGCCCCGTTGTAATATTTACAGCAGAGCTGTTGGTGCGCTTTGAGGGAGTGAGAAATAGGGATGCACTCGGAGTTAATAACCCTTTCAGTCACGCGTGCACTGCCTTTTTTTTATCCTGTTCTGCTTTTCAAATGAGCAGCTTAAAGATCCCATTACCTGTTGTTATCGGTGCATTAGTAAGCATTATAAATGAAGAGGGGTAAATAAGCAAATAAAGGTAAACTATTAAAGGTGAGCTAGATTGTAAGCATGGCCCAGCCTGCAGTTGTCTGGGAAATATGCTAGCTAAATGAGCAGCGTTCCCCCCTTAAGTGGCCTTTGAATGTTTAGAAAAATATAATAGCAAAAAGCAAAGGGGTAATATTATTATTATTATTCTTATTATATACTGTATTTTTATATTTAGAAAGATAGATAGATAAATATATACTCAGACATCCTGGTCTATGTGCCTATATTCACCTGCTTTTCTTTGTCTGTTTTTCCATCAGTCCAGTACTCTCTTCAACTCTGCCAAGAAGCGTGCTTGACTGTAGCACAGTGTCAGAATGTTGGGCTCCTGTCAAATCTAATTTGAGCACAATTTTTGCCCAAACGTGTTTTATTAGGCTTTTCAAATGCTAATATTTATTAATCCCTTCTTTCTTGCCCCTTGGCTAAGGAGGATAATATTGGCTAATGCACAATTACACTCTCAGTCCTCGAACTCCATTAAATATTTTTTTTTTGCTTCAAATTTCTCATCTCAAATCTGCTGGTAAAGACCTTGTCTGTGCACTTCAGAAACACCTGCGGATTTAGACTGGGTTGCAATGATGCCTCTCTCCTTTCCTGAGTTTAATTATTATTACCAAAATTAAGTTTTCTCTAGTGTGTTGATCATTTATACATATCCATTCATTTTTCATATATAGGCATTTCATTGAGTTGGCAATTTGCTTGGAATTTCTGGCAAATAATATGTATAGAAAACTGTAAAGGAACAAAATTGTGGCAATACAGAATGGTTAATAGTTATGCAGGTAACTATATATATATAGTTGGCTATTATTCTCTCTGTAAGTGCATGCACACACACACACACACATATATATATATACACACTTACATAGAGAGAATAATAGCCAACTCTGAATGCAGCAAAAGACATACTAAGCAAACTGATACAACTGCCTTAGAACAAAATAAAATGAAAACAGTACAGCATACATCTCTATTGCAAGTCTCTCTGCTCATCCTGACCCCCCCAACAACCCCCCTGTTCTTAGATGTTAGAGAAGGACAGTTTGCATCGGGAGCAAAATGGATATTTATAGGGAAGCTGCAACTTGCCTGATTCCTCCTAGAGAATAACAGAGCTGAGACCAGGCACAGTACAGTACAGGAGGAGTTTTGGGTGAGGTAGCTGTATTGGTGTTCAAAAAAATCAGGAAGAAAAAAACCATACCTGATAATACTGTCTACATCTCTATACGTTTTACAGCTGTTTCCATCAGCATGGACAGTACTTCCATGTTTCCCAGTATATGTAGTGTGCCTGTTCATTGTTTGTCTAATGTTTAATGTTTACATTAGGCTAAAAGTACAGGTAGTAATCTTCCCTCCCCTTAAATTATTGATAATTGTATAAGATTTTTTTTTTGTCTTTGTAATGTCTGTCCTGTTAGGAATGGCTCAGGAGGACTTCCTTTCACTGTGATTTCACTAGTGATTCCTTTCACTGTGTCACTGTACATGGCTGAGATGATAAAGTTTTACTTGACTTAAACAGAGCCCAGTTTGAACCCAGATTGGAAATGGACATGGTTCCGTGGCAGAGTTGTCCAGGAATCGGTCCCAGGAACATATTTGTAAAAGTGAGACGACGCGGTTTCTTCCTGATCGAGAGAGATAGAGGGCTGTAAGTTTGTAGGAATTTCTTTGCAAAGGAGTAGGGTGACCTGAAGTTCATGTCTCCTCTTCGCAGTTGTCATGACACCCACATCTCATTTTTGCTTGTTTTTGTATGGATGTTTCGCAGCCGCCGAATGGAAAACACATCAAGTTATCTTTTTAAGCTATACGCTGATCTGTGATATGTGTTTGACAGACTTTACCACCATATAGTTAATTCCTGCTTAACCACTGAATACGTACAGAAAGAACTTAAATAACATGCATGTTCTTAGTATTAAAACTTATGTTATCAGGTTCTACTCATCTGGATTAAAGTTTTAATAAACATTGCAAGAAAGGACCGCAGGTAGGAACTACTATTACGGTAACATAGCACATGCAAATAAACCATTTATTTCTCATATTATAGCTAACAGAACTGAATAGATTTTTTATTAAATTGATACGGAGGATAGCAAGCATTGTTTAAAAGAATTCACTGCAGCCTAGCATGAACCAGAGACCCCACCTATGTAACCTTTCTATGAATTATGCATAGAAACTCAATGAAGAATATATGAAAAATAGGAGCTATTCGCTGGGGGCAGAGTGGTGGTGAGCAGGTACAGTAGCTTGGTTGGCTGTGGGAGATTTGGCTGCTTTTCCTTTGCTCTCTAGCCATGACACCCACAAGCACCATCCTTGTTTGGCTTTTATCTTCACACCCACATGGCCCAACATTATTTCACTTGCTTCCCTGTGGGTGTTCCCCTGTTGCCCTTTGAAATGCATGCTCTTTGGACAGAACTGTGTTGAGAACAAAAATCTGTTGATGAGTTGTTGTGGTTGGGTAGCATAAATGTACGGATTAAGGAACGATTAGTGGTTAGATTGAATTTTGAACTCGGTACTAAAAGTAAATCCACAAAAATCGATAAAAATAATATCATTCGCCAACAATTACATGTGAAAATGCACTACTTGTTGATGGAAAGATTGAAATGAAAACCTTTTATTTGGTTTTGTTAATTTTATGAATAAAGGGTATCATATACAATATGCATATGTTACTGGATACTATTACCAATTATTGGACAACTGCAGGAAGCCAGTAATAAACAGTGCTGAATAAAATAGGTAACTGTGCTGTTCAGTGGGAAGCAGTTTCCCTGAAATTTTCACACTGCGAGGGCAGAGGTGCAAGGTTACTTGGTGAGTGCTGTAATACCCACCTGTTGATCATGTCTAGTAGGACCGAACTGTGACATGCCATACCGCAGCGCAAAAGGTCCCAGAAGGTCACAGATATTTCAGAGATATTTCACAGGTTTGTTGGAAAGGAGTGACTATGACTCAAGGACCCATCCAATCACATCCCTATTGAATGGCTTCCATAGAGGGCTCTACCATAAACCCAGAAGAAGTGTCACTTTTGATCTCACTCAATGAGTCAAGGAGAGAAGCTGTACGTGGAGATAAAGGGGCAAAGAGGACGATATAATGGGAATGAAAGTGGGCTTCAGCTATACGTGAATATTTTGTGTGGCATGTTGGAATATGTGCAAAACTAAGCTGGACTGACTTTTGAAATCGGAATGGAATCTGCATATATCTATGCTCTGTAGTCCAATTAGCACAATATATATTTTCATTGTGGGTTATTTGCACAAGTCTGTAATAATAATATAGTTGTATTTATTAGTCATTGGCTTTGTAGGCATCTTTATCTACTTCTGTTTTATCTAGTTGTTTGTGCTGCAAAAGGTGTACAACATGAGTAGATAGTGACATTTCTACTTGCTTTAAAATAACTTGAGTGTGTAAAGATGTTAGCATATTGTGAAAGAGCACAAATAGAAGACAAAAGAGAATGCATTGGTCTCCTTCTGTGATGACCTCTGATAGCAAGAGCAAAATAGCGAGCTTACTTGACAAATGCCATCATTTCAAAGGTGCATTTCAACTCTTTTCCTCCCGCGCACTGTGCTCTCGAAAGGATTTAGTTTCACACCCTACGCAAGGTCATGAAAGCAACATCAAAAGCGAGTCCTTCTGTTATCAGTGTTTCCATTCTGGGATTTTGCCACACACAGGCAAAGTCATACATACTAAGACTGAAGTCTTTGGGTCACAATCTCTACGTAAATTATACCCAGTGAAGTTATGTAAATTATGCGGACAAAGAGTTACGAGGTCAGGTTTGTTTTTCTGACGAGTGTGTATTTTCTTTTGGAAGAGCAGTCAGCTGTCCAGCACATACTTAGGAGAGCATGCATAATTTCACAGCAGAGTGCATGAAGGTATGTATGTTAGAAGGACAGGGAGCTGCTCTGGTTATTTAGAGTACAAAAGCCCTCTAAAGGTCTAGTAGTACTGGCGTACTTGCTACCGCTAAATAGCATCTTAATTAAGACTATTTCAGGACAGGGCATTGTGGGGCTTAGGAAGATTTCCATCTCTGTTGACTGGCATCATGGCTGCCCAAGCTCAGATTTCCCCTGCACTAAACAAACAGCCAATGAGAACTGGGCCCCTTTTGCACCTCTATTTGTAAGTAGATTTTAAGCAGGACCTTGTGTTCATTGTGCCTGTTGACATGCACCCCATGGGCTATCAATAGAGACAGATCAGCTTCCTCCTTCTCAGCTAGTGCCAAGGCTGCTAGTGGACACAGGCTTATGTTTAATTGTAAATGCAGAAGTGCTGGACATGACATGCAGCACAATTTAATAAGCCTGATGATGTACATCCACTGCAACCTTGACTGGATGACTCTTTGTAGAGCAGTGTTGCCCAATCCGGACCTGGGGGACCCACAGACAGTCAATGTTTTTGGGAGCTGGGAGGGGCCAAAAATGTAGACTGTTTGGCAGGGACCCCGGAGGAAGGAAAAACATGGACCGACTCTGAGTCCCCAAGGACCAGATTGGGAAATACTGTTCGAGAGGATTGTGGAAAGTTGTGGAAACTGTTGTTGAACTTCTGTACTTTTGTTTACATTCAAAATTTCTGGAAAGATGTGCTGAGCTATTGAATATTGTAGCTTATTTTAACATCAGGTTGGTTTTTAAAACAATGCTTCCAGACTGCCTTTTCCCTAGATGGTGTAATAAAAGTTTCATGTCAAGCATAAAGGTTATTAATAAAAATGTAATTAA